GTTACCATTATTATTATTATTATTATTATTATTATTATTATTATTATTATTATTATTATTTTTAAATGGAAAAATACGATTGGAGCCAAAAATACGCTCTAAAAACAATTAATTTTATTTATTTATTTACTTTCCTTTTTTTTTTTTTTTTTTTTCACCGGTAATAAAAAATTTTTTTTTTTTAAAAGGATTAATTAATCAAGAGAAAGAAATTATAAAAATTATGCGAGATAAAAAGAGAGAGAGAGAGAGAAAGAGAAAGAGCTCTTTCGGCCATTTTTACTTAAGGTAGAAAAATAAAATTCCCCGTAGTGTTCGAGAGAGTTAAAAAAAAAAAAAAAGTAAAAGTAAAATAATTTAAAATAATGAAAAAGACGTGAAAATCCGGGGGGGGGGAGGAGAGAGTGAGAGAGAGAGTGAGAGAGAGAAAGAGAGAGAGAGTGAGATGCGAAAAGAAAAAATTAAAAAATTAATAAGGTTCAACTCGGAACTCGGTCTCCCCTCAACGAAATTATATTTAACACATTCAGCCATGATTAAACGAAAAAAGAAAAAAAAAAAATTTCGTCGTGGAAAAAGAAAATTCGAGAAAAACATTGTGCGAAAAAATAAGGTAAAATTCACGCGTTTTTATTAAAATTGTAAATGACGTTTTTAAAACAAAAGGAAATCCACGACAAATCAATTTGTGCTTGGCGTTAACTTACACCATATTAATAATAATAATAATAATAATAATAATTTATTTATGTAAAAAAAAAAAAGAAAAAAGAAGGAAAACGATTTAGTGTTAAACCGCGATGAAGACGATCGAAAATAAGAATACGAAAAAAGCCATTATAAAAATAACGATAACGATAATAATAATAATAATGATAAAAATGATTACGATAAGAAAATAAATTTTTTTTTTTTTTTTTTTTTTTTTTTTCCCATAGATTTTTAATATCCATGTATCGATGATACAAATCATTTGAATTTTTTTCCAGTCACGAAGTTCAATCCAGTACGAGCTCCGGGAGTGAATTATTATTACTGCGATGGAAAAAATAAAAAAAAAAATATTTCTACCGGAAAATTTCAATTTTGACCAAAATAAAAAAAAAAAGAAGCGCGAGGAAAAGGGGGGGGGTTGGGAGAAAACTCTCTCTTGTAATCATTTCATTGTGTAAATCGGAAAAGAAAAGAGAAATACAAAGAGGAACGAAATTAGAAAGAGAGAGAGAGAGAGAGAGAGAAAGTGTATTAAAGCATTTAAAACGATTTAACTCGTGGCAACGACAAAAACGAAATTAGAAAAGAAATGAAACTTTAAAATTTTATAACGCGTTTGCACTTTTTCTTTTTGTGAAAACTTGTGAAATTAATACCGGGGGTCACCGGGAATAGAAAACGCGTGGCGGACATTTAAAAAACTTTTCCCACAAGTTTTCACAGTTTCGTTTCCTTTCACTTTGAACCTTTGAACCTTATTTTACAAAAAAAAAATAAATAAATAAAAAAAAAAAACAAAAAGTGTTTTACATTTTCCTAAAATGTCTACCCATCCTTATTTTAATAAATATTTTTCCCTTTCTTATTTTCAAATGGTCTCGTTATTGCCGTGGCACACAATTAAATAATTAATTCCACTTGAAATTTAAATGTTTGTGCTGTCGTTCGTGACTGGTCTAATTTTCTAACGAACACCCCATCATATATTTATCCTTTGAATTTATAAATTTTCCTAAATAAAAATAAAAAGTTTCGTTTTATTGAAATCGAACAAGATGTCGACGACGATGATGACGAAAATAATAATAATAATAATAAAAATGAAACAAAAGTGAATAATCGTAATTTTTTTTTTTTTTTTATTATTAAATTTTTAAAGGTTGGCAACGTTGTAAAATATTCAAGTATAAGTTACGTTTTTTTCTTTCCCTTTCTTTTCGAATTCGCAAAGTAAATTTAAGTATCAATTTTACATTAATAAATAAATGTAAAAAAAAATAAAATAAAAAAATAAATAAATAAGAATGAAATGTTAAACCTTATGGATTGACTGAAGAACATAAAAAAAAAAAAAAAAAAAATCATAAAAGGGAAAAAAAAAATTTTTTTTTTTCTTATTCCCTAGAAACAAAAAGTCTCCTGACAGCCGCCATAAATAAATTTATTGACATAATCTAAGGGTTTTCTATTATTATTATTATTATTATTATTATTTTTCTAACTCGGCCTAATGTTTTTTTCTTTATATATATATATTTTTTTTTTTGCTACTTTCCTGTTGGTTAAACATTGAAAAAATGTATAGAACAATAATTTTTCATTTTTTTTTTTTTGTAAAAAAAATAAAATTCAAAAAAGGAATTTCGACTCAACGTTTTTTATGTGTAATAATAAAAAAAAAAAAGAAAAAATTCATCAATTCGAATTCAACGTTTGATAAATCAAGAGAAAAACTTTTCGTGAATATAAAAAATTACTTACTTCAAAACTTATTTTTCCCGTATGATTATGCTTTATTGTATTGAACACATAATGTGCATAATGAGTAGCGTCTGGAACAAAAAAGAAAAATTTTTTTTTCATTTTTATAAATTTTAATTCACGTCGAATTGTAAAAAATAAATTAAATAATTCCTTTTGTTCCTTAACGAATAAAGCTTTACCTATTTTAACATCAAACTTCTTACTTACTCTCTCTACGATTTCAATAATTTACATAACGAAAAATTTAACGTTTAGAATTTAAAAGTATAACGGTTTTAAGAATTTTGGAACTAAAAATTAACAACTGAACTTCAGTACGAATGATTAACGACTGACACTCGATTTCAAATCGTCCAATTAAAATTTTAAAAAAAAAAACGGTTTCACGTACCGCGTAAAAAAGATTAACCAATCAAAACCAATTAAGAATTGGTACCAACTTAAAAAAACAATTTTTTGATTGGTTAGTTCAATCCTATGACGCAATAATCAAATTTAAAAATAAAAAATTTTTTGATTGGTTCAATCCTATGACGCAATAATCAAATTTGATCTAAATGTAGATAAGGAAAAAAAATTTTTTTTTTTTTTATCTACATTTGAAAAAGTAATTAATTACTTTAAAAAAAAAAATTTTTGCTGAGTAATTGACTTTTCATTTAAGATTTTAATGAATTCTTGCCATGAATTTTCTAGAATAAAAAAAAAAGAAATTCATTTTCCGTTTTTTCCCAAAAAAAAAAAAGGTTGAAAAATTGCTGAATAACATATTGCCGTGAATTATCCAATTTAAAAAAAACCGTTTTTTCAAACAAAAAAGAAAAATCATTATTATTATTTTTTTTTGAAAATTTATGCTTAATATCGAAATTGAAGTGATTGATCGTAAAAAATTTTTTTTAAGAAATTGATAAATGACAACGATAATGTTGAAATTTTTTTTTTTTTTTTTTCGAATAATTTTAATCCTCGTGCATGATAAAATGATTTTAATCAAAACTATGTAATAATTTTAAAAAATTAAAATGGAAGAAAAAAAATAACGTAAAAATTATTATTATTTTTAATAGTTATCGAATTACTCGTGAAATAAGAAAAAAAAATGGAAAAAAAACGAAAGGTAACATTTCGACCCGGGCATAGATCAAAAAAAAAAAAAAAGTAAAATATTATTTTGAGGAAAAAAAAAAGAAAGGGTTGGTTTAAAAGTACAAAACCTTCGTCCGCCATATTTTTTTTTTTTTTTTTTTTTTTTACCATTCACTTTTTTAAATTAAATTTGTAAGGCGATAGTTTAAACGATTTGTTTCGATGAAAAAAAAAAAAAAAACAAAAAAAAAATTTTTTTAAACACGATTTTAAAATTAAATAAATGTATTTTTTAACAAATGAAAAAGAGAGAGATAGAAAACAATAACGTTTTCCATGTATTTGTTTTCTCATTCTCTCCTTTTTATTCCACCATTGTTTTTTTTTTTTTTTTTTATTTACTTTATAAAAAGTATTGTTTTATTCTAGAAAAAAAAAAAGAAATTTCAAACTCTTTCCTATTTTTATATACATTTTGAAAATAAATTTTTATTTTTTTTCAATACTTTTATATTTATTTAAAATTCATTCTCCTGCCACGTTTCCTTTCCCTCCCCAAACAACCCTCTTCCTTCTTCGTTCTTCGAATCTTCTTCTTCTACTATAGGAAAACAAAGTTTTTTTTTTTTTTAAAGTTTTTTATTTGATAATAAAATTGCTTTCTTCCGAAAAAAAAAAAAAAAAAATTTCATTTAAAATCTAAATCATTCGACTGTAAATGGAAAAATATACAAAAAGGAAACGTTTTTTTTTTTTTTTTTTTTTTTTTATATTCAAACAAACGGAAGGTTATCCAAACAATATCGTTCGACGACATTTTACCTTCGAAAATAAAAAAAACCGCCAAAAAATTTAAATTTTTTTATATTGAGATACATATTGTAAATTGAAAGAACTGTCCTTAAAATTTAATCAAATTGTAAAAATTATATTTAGTTTAAAAAATTAAATATATAAAAACGAGAAAAATTAATTTAAATAAGGGATGCTCTCAATAAGGGATGATGAGAAAAAAAACAATTTTCTTTTTTTTTCTTTTTTTTTTTTTGGGGGGGGGGTTTCTACAACGGCAAATCATCATTTAATTTCCAATTTAAATTACGTCCACGACAGCAATTTATTTATTTAGTAGCAAAACAGAAAATTTGCAAAGGGGAAAAAAAAGGTGTAAGAATTTCTCATAAGAACGACCGACATTTTGTTTTTTACAAAAATATCATAGGATTCAAAAAAAAAAAACTACTTTGCTCGAATTCTCACATTCGATTCATTCGAATAATTTTTTAAATTTAAAAAGTGGAAGGGGGTAAAAGTGGAATGGGTAAGAATTCGTTTCTCGATTTGATTTTTGTCATTTCACCTTATCTATATAAACCGCTTTACTCATAAGTTAAACATAAGTGAAATGATTTCAAAATTTTAAGCCGGAAAAAAATTTAATTTTCTAAAGTTGGCAAAACCGAATTTATTATCTCGAAGGTGAATCAAATTTATATGTAAAGTAACGGTGAGTTCATTGTTGCTACCCGAGCGAGAAGGACGTCAAAAATTTGTCAAAAATTTTGAGAGATTTTTATTAAAAAAAAATTACATCAAATCATGGACACACACACACACACACATACAGGTTTTTACTTTTTTTTATTATTATTTAACTGATAATGTCGAAAAATATTTCCGAAATGAAAATATGGGTTAAAAAAAAAGCTTTTTCTCTCGTTTGAATAAAATCAAAAACCTTTTTACCTAATCAAACAAAAAACTAAAATGGAGGCCATTTTTTTTTTTTTTGGTGATTTATAGTATCACCTATTGAAATTTTGCTTTTTATCGATTTTAAACAATCATTTTCCTCTTTTTTTTTTTTTTTTCATTTATCATTATCTGAAAAAATAAACCAACCGGGTTAAATGTTTTAAAAAAACGTTAATTTTATCGTAATAATAATAATAATAATAATAAAATAACTCGATGAGAAATTATGTAAGAAGAGGGGGAAAAATGAAAAAAAAAAAATTTTATTTTATTTATTAATTCTCTTTTAATTTTTTCTTTTTTTCCCCTCCCCCTCCATTTTTTCTCGAACTTTCTTCTTTTTTTTTTTTTTACTCGAATGAAAAATTTACATTTGATTATTTAACGAATTAAAAAATTTTTTTTCTTTTTTTTTATAAAAAAAAAATTAATATTAATATTATAAGAAAAAAAAATTTGTTTAAAGAAAGTCGAATTACATAAAAAAAAAAAAAATTAATTCCCTTCGATTTTTTTGCCCCTCCTCTCTTTCTTCTTCAACGTCCGCT